GTCACTAATGTAAAAGACCAATTGATTGCCTACCTGGGTGACTCAATTTGGAAAAGAGATGAAAAGTTACGTGCCCATCAAAATTCCATAAATCACCATCACGTGGTAACATTATTAAGGGGAGACCACTCCTCAAAAAAAAAAAAAAAAAAAACCCACGGTGAATCCTTTGCAAGGCACACAATTCTGCTGGTATATCTGGATCTCGGTGTGTCAAATATATTTAATACACAGCAGAAGAGGATGGAAAAAATGGTGTTTTTTTATTCTTCCCCCTTCCTTCCCCCAGTTCTCTTATTATCTCCATCTTTATAACATTTGAATGTTCTATGTTTAACGTTCTCTCTACAGGACTTGGAACTCACTGGGGGAAACCAACCAAGTAAAAAATGGTAGTTGTAACGTGCTTGGGTGTCCTAGTAAGGCAGAGCATCGAATAAATCCAGGTTCTCGCTGCTTTACCAGCCAGGGAAACCCTAAACGTGAAAGAGAGGCAATGGTTCCCATAACCTGCTCATGTGTCTGCTGCCCCCTCACACTCGGGACTTCTGTACCTCCACGAGCAAGCTTCTCAAATCCCCAGGCCTGTTTCCCCAACGGTCAGATGGACTTTCTCTGTGCCCTTAGGAAATTATTTGCAGGGAAAAGAATCAGCGAAGAGCTAGAGACTATGAGGCAAAGACTCCATCTGTCAATTCCTTTCCTGGGTAGAACACGGTATCGTCCACAGGACTCCTTTGATAATGGGCTATCCCTAACATCTCCAGAGGTGTACCAGCTGCAGGAGAGCAGAGTAGAAAGAGACAGCTTTGGAGAGACAGCTTACGGGTTCAAATTTCCGTTATCTACGTGACCTTGGAAGAGTTATTTAAACTCCTCGAGCCTTCATGTCTTCATCTTAAACATCAGGTGGTTAATTCTGACGTGGAGATTGCCTGATATACATGAAATACACAGCACAGTGCGTGGCAGGGAGGAAGGCCTTTCCAAGTGGAAGGGACTCTGGTGATTATTATCATGGCCCCGAGTCCTCAGTGCTCGGCACAGAGCACTCAACAGACACGTGTCGGGTGCACTGACGAATGGACGGTTGAATCTTCGTATTTATTATTAGAGCCAACATCTGCCTTAGAACCCAATGAGGATCCTCAGCCCGTTCTGTTATCTGTTCTAGATAAGACAGAACACAATTTCTCCTTCCCCTTTTTCTTCCCCTTCCTCCAGTAAGTCTACGTCTTTAAGCATACGCAAGACCCGAAGACAGGACGTTAAAACAACGATACCAAAACGTGTTCTTGGGGAACCAGGTCTTGCAACAGGCAACGATCCAGCCACACATTCCCATTCACTGAATCCAAGTGATACGTTTACATACATGGAGTGTGTCGGGTGGTCAATGGCCCTTGGAGTTCAGAGTCTGGTGGGAAAATGCCAGAATAACCAGAGCACAACCCCGTAGGTGCTGGAACAGGTGTTAAGTACCAGGGAATGGGAAATACGGCAGGAAAAAGATGATTTCTCCCCGGGAGGGACAGGGTGATCATGAGAAAGGACTTTGCAGAGGAAGAGCTATTTAAGCCTAGGAGAATGGTGATGGAGGAGGAGGTGGAGGAGAGGCAACAGAGTGGTAGCAGTTTTCCAGGCAGAGAAGCGGGAATGGCAAGAGCAGCTCCCAGGCATGGGAGGGGGGTGGGTAAAGCCCAGAGGAAACCTTCCTGGTATATTTGGGTAACAGTGAGTAGTTCCATGTGGCTGAACCAGGGGCCAAGGAAGGAGTAACAGGAGACAGTCTAGAAAACTGACAAATCCTTATTGAGTACTTTATGTGTCCGGGGCAAGGGTAACATTTGCTAACGTCAGGAACAGGATGGCAGAAAAGCACCAGAGACCACACTGCTGATGGCCAACCTGCTTCCCCAGTGGCCAGGCGAGCCCGCAGGTGGGCGGCCAAGCGAGCAGGGCCAGGAGTCGTCAAGGACTCTAGTGGCTCTAGCGTGGGCTGCCACCTGCCTGGCCACCTACTCTCAAGGTCCCCCTCAGGCCTCCCTCCTCATGTGTGAAACGAGCGGCTTGGAGAATGGGATCCTCAGAATTCTTCACGGCTCTAAGAGAGGATGATGATCCCTTGGAGTAATAGAGGGCTGGAGAGATGGGGCGGCGGCGGGGGGGGGGGTCTTCTCTGGGCATTTATTAACTTGTGGCTCCCACAGTCATCATTCAGAGAACCCAGAGGGACAGAAGCAAAATCAAAAGACATTTTCAGAAGATGGATGACTGAAGGGGGCTGACATATGTGTGAGAGTTTGGGGAATTTATGCGGGCAGCTTCATAGCCATAAATAAAAATCCCTCTCTCTTACCCAAAACCTCATTCGGGGGGTAAACACCAGACACCCTATTTGGCTGGATCTCCTGCCCCGTGCCTCCCTTGAATGAAAAACAGCAGTCCCCAGGCAGGGGGGGGGGGGTAATGGGTTTGGCCGCCTCTTTGCAAACATCCATATTGTCACCAGCAGACGAGCAGGGCTGAGGATGGGGCAGGCAGGGCAATTCATCTCTGAGACTCTTCAGCCCTTCCTGCAGCCTTGCTCTCACAGCTATCTATCCTGAGGCTGAGGGGTTTGGAAGGAACCCCGGGAAAACACCAAATGCACGGAGAAGTGACCCCTGGGAAGCGGGGGAGCCGCACCCCTCCCTTTCCCATGCTCCTCTGGGGGCCGCGGGAGACGCCAGCACCACCGGCGCTGGTCCGGCCCATTGTGCTCAAGGCTGCCTGCTGCCAAGCTCAGCTACTTGATTTCTTGACCTACTTCTCTTCCCATCCCTGCCTCACCCCAGACTCCCTCTGGCGCACACAGTAATTAACACCTTCCCGTCCATTAAGTTCAGGAGATGGAGAAAGCTCCTGGCTCCCAGGATAACCAAGGAGACGGGGAAAACGGGTCCTGGCATTGCGCGTTTGGGTTTTCCTTTTCTTTTCTTTCCCTCTGTTGGCTTTACTCTGCTTCCTGGCCTGGAGGCCCAGCTTGACCTTGCCAGCCAGCAGGGCGCCTGGCTGGAGACGGGCTGCAAGTGGCCTGGCGTGAACCAAAACAGAGGGCCAACAGCGTCTTGATAGAACTGGACAAGCAATGCTCCGGGGGGGGGGGGGGGGGCCGGGGGGGGGGGGGGGGGGGTGCCCTCTGAAGCCCTCCATGGTCAGTGCAGCCGCAAAGAAAGGGATCTGTCAGTTCCACTTTCTGCTCCCCTCCCGGGGAACCAGTGTCAGGAGAGCCAAGGCCGTGAGGCGCTGCTGTTTCTGGCTCAATCCCTTTCCGCTTCCCATTAGCGACAAATGGAAATTGATGGGTTACCGCTTTATCCACTCATTTAGAGGGGGAGAAAACCTCACAGCAAATGCTGAATAACTAGGCATCTTATAAATTAAGCATCTTAAGGATACAAACCGTTTTGCTTTGCTGCTAAGCAGAATTAAATTAGGTTTTGAAGCTTCGGTAGAAATGAATGGGGAAGAGGGAGAGAAGATTGTTTTTAATTCCTTGCCTTTAAGCATGCAGAGTGGTGAACCGAGGGCAGGGTGAGGAGAAGAACTAAGTCACCTGTCTGCATTTCTGATTCTAATCAGCCGCTGCTGCATATGCATGGAGAAATGTGCCCACAAGTCCACACAGGGCAGGCCGGAGACCTGCAGCTCGGCCTCTGGCCCGTGGGGCATGGCCTAGCCGGGGTCTCAGCTTCTGGCTTGCCTCTGCCCACCCGGGGTCTCCTGACCACCACCAGTAGGCCAACCTCTGGGACTCTGGACCAGTCCTGACTGCAACCGGCTTAAAGCCAATTTCCTGAGACTCGGTGTCACGATACCGATACCTTCCTTCTCAATCAGCCGCTAACACTTTCACGTTTGGGTCTAGGATCTAGGATCCTGTCTTGTTGGCAGTACCCACTTCCCCCTACACACGCCCCAACTCCCTACCCCAGTCTGGGAGGAGTGGCATCAGATGGATACCTGTCTGTAGAACCTGCCTAAGTTTGAGTCCTTCTGGGGCTGTTGCCTCATCTTGCCCCCGGGGTCCTGCTGTTAATCCAGCCTTCTTATGACCAACAACCCACCTGCCTGGGCTTCTCACTGCTGTGCCCCCACCCATCTGTCCACACTGAACCTGTTACCCATATACAGACGATCCCCCAATCCCTGAGACCCCACATCAGTCTTGGGCCGTCAGATGACCACACAGTGCATGCTGGACTGAACTATCCCCTTATCCTTACAGCCGGGGCTGCTTCCCTACGACCCAGATTAGGCCTGCAGTGAATGAGGCTTACACAGTCCTGAGGAAGAAGAGGTATCTGACTTCCTAGGCCCTCCCAGATTCCCAGGGGAGGAAGGCCTCCCTCCCGGAACAGGGCTGCCGATGGGGCAGGGAGCAGCCGGCCTGTCCGCACCTGGAGTGGGCATCCCCACAGCAGCAGGGCCAGGGAGAGAACATGGGTCACTGAAGTGGCCTTGCCCTCCCTCTCCAGAACCAGGCCAGCAAGAACAGACACACCAAGTCAAGGGCCCTGCCAAGCAGCCGGCCAGGGCCCCTGAGAGCACTCCCTGACTTGATCCGAGGCACACTCTCCAGGAAGCCCTCTTGGATTCATCAGAGAAAAAGAGAGGTCATCTCTTCCCTAATCTCCAGCCCTGGATTTAGAATCCCCATGGACATTCCCACCCTCCTTCTTCATTTGACAGCTGCCCCTTAATGTGCCAGGCTGAGTCCGTCACACGCTGTAACAGGGACTCAGCGTCTTTATTCTCCTCACAAGGGGGCCGGACAGACTGACCACCGGATCGGAGCTGTGAGCCTCTCGGCTGCACCCCCACCACCACTGCTAGTCCAGCTAAACTCGGGGAGGGCACGGTGCAGGAGCAGATGTCCCCTGTGGACACCTGGGCTATAGGCGGGGGCATCAGCCAAAGCTAGGCTGCCCCCAGGGTGCCATGTGAGCAGCACTTACCAATCCTCAGGGAGTGCGGGCTGCAGGTGACCATCACGAGCCACGCCGGAAGCAGCACCAAAGGCGCAGAGACGCGGGGCATCTTCTATAAATCCTCATGGAGCCCTCTGCTGGTCTGGGCATGACATAACTCTGTGAGAGAGTGGTGGGAGCATGTGAGTCTGAAGCCTCTGCGAGGTAGCCACCCACCCGGCCTTGTGACCAGAGCTACCACCCAAACAGCCTCTGTTGCGGGGCCCACAGTCCACTGCAGAATGGCTGGCAGGACCTGTGGGAAAGCTCCAGGCCAGCTCCAGGCCCCTGTCCTTCCTCCCTATGCTAGGCCCACAGAAGGCTCAGGTTCGAACTCCAGCCCCCAATCCAGTTGGGGGCCCATGGGCATAACTGTGACCAAATGAAGGGGCTCCACTGTTTTTGAAATTCCAACTGCGGATGAAAACCTTCATCTGCTCTTAAGAAACAAGAGCCATGAGTGAGCTGGAGAAGGAGGGGTGGCAAGGTTAGGCCATTGCCCTGGGGACAAGCCACATGCACTGCTCACTGGGGAGTGGTGTGGGGAAGTGACTGGGTTCATCTTCAAGTCCTGCTCCTCCACATGCTAGCTAGGTGGCCTTCATGAGGACTCTCCTCACTCCTCAGCTCAGTTTCCTCACAGGTAAAACTAGCATGACGTCACGCAGGTAGCAGAGATGAACAGCACGCAGACTGAGATAACAGGGGAAAAGCAGCTGTGCTCAGGCCTGGCCTGAAGGACAGGCTACACACCATCAGTCCCTCCCTGGCACAGATGGGAGAGGTCTGGTCTCAGCAAATACTGAGGGCAGAAGCACACATACCAGGTCATCAGCTAGTTTCTATATCTGCTCCTGCTACCTGCCGAAAACGAACCCCTCCCCATCCTTTCTCCACCAATCCCCCTTCCTCCTGGGGTCGATGGGCCTCTGATGTCAAAACCAGAGCCTTGGAGGGGACTGCCTTCCCCCCAGGCAGCATGGGCGCTGTCCCCCGCCTGTCCCCCTTCCCCCTGAGACCTCTGGCATCCTGAGAACAGAGTCTGTAGCCTGCCAGCTGCAGCGCATCAATAGGGTCAAAGTGGGGCTGGTAAGCACCTGGATATGCTAACCCCCAGGTCGCCCTTGGTCAGGAAAGTACGCCATGAACAGACAATCCAACAGAAAAATGGGCAAAACACTAGAACAGACACTCCACTAGTCACTGTATCCAAAAGCCTATAAACATTTAAAAAGGGTCTCAACTTCACTGGGCATCAGGAAATGCAATTTCAAACCACAATAAGACACCAATATACGCCCACCAGAATGACTTTTTAAAAAAGACAGTATCAAGTGTTGACAAGGATGTGGAGCAACTGGAACTCTTGTACAGTGTCAAGGCAAGTGTAAGTTGATAGAACTGATTTGAAAAACTGGTCTTTGTGCTCTCAAAACCCAGAGTTTTACATGTACCCTAGGGACCCAGAAACCCTGCAATAAGCGTATTTCCAACAGAATGTGCGTCTATGTGCTCAGATCTGTTAGATGTATTCGAGATGTGTTAGAATGTTCATAGCAGCACTTTGCATTTCCCCAAACTGGAAACTACTCAGATGTCTAGCAGCAGAATGGAGAAATACAGTGTATATTCACATAACAGAATGTTACATAGAAATGAAAATTAATCATCAGCAACCAGGTGCTGAGATTCTGGATGAATCTCATAAACATAATTTGACTGAAAGAAAGCAGGCACAGAAGAATACATACAATATGATTCTTTCTATAAAAAGTACAAAAAACTGTTAGAATCCCAGCTGGTAGTTACCCTTGGGGGCGAGCAGTGACTAGAAGGGGACATATGGGGTCTTCTGGGGGTGCTGGTGATGTCCTGTTTCTTACTCTAGGTGCTGGTTATGCAAGTGTGTTCGGTTTGTGAAAACTCCCTGAGCTGTATACTTATGATTATATTCACTTTTCTGTGTGTGTGTGTGTGTTACATACTTCAGTAAGTCTTTGTTTAATGACACCCCCCCCCAGCACCACACACTTGATGTTCCAGCCACACCCAGCACCAGGAAGCTTCCTGTGCACACCTGCTTCCCTCGGCCTGATGCTCCTCTCCCCGACCCCTGCCATTTGCCAGAATCCAGAGCCCTTCTATGTGCCACTGTGGCAGACTATAGTGGCTCTTACAGCACTTTCTCCCACTGCTGCTCCTTTAGATGCCCACATGTGGAATCAGAGTGGTCTTCTTAAGGGCAAGGACAGTTGCCAGCATGCTGTTGTATCCCCAGAGTCTACTTACACACAACAGGTGCACAGTATGAATTTGTTCGATGAATAGAAGGGCTCAAGCAGTCACCTGCTATTGGGAGTCTGAGTTAAAGAAAGGTAAAAGACTAAGACAAAGGCAAATCTGCTGTTGGCAAATCAGGCCCAGAATCTGTCCTTTCATTCATGGGTGTTGGTGCAAGGATAGATTACAGCACACACAGTCTCGAGAGAAGCTTGACATTCTTACTCATTATGGATAAAGTTGATTGTTCAGTGATTGTCTCCCCACTGGAATGCAAGCTCAAACAAAGGAGATGGGGCAGGGAGCAGAAATCTTGTTCATCTGTCTCCTCGGGACCCAGAACGGGGCCTGGCATATATTACAGTCTCAATAAATATTTGTTGAATGGATAAATGAATCAGCTGTCAAAGAGGAAAGAACTGTAAAAAACTGGTTAGGCTATATAAAAGCAATCCTAACTATAATCATTTATGTCAAATGCCTTCCATTTATGCCCGATCAGCACACCGCACAGTAATTATTATTCAGACTGCTAAAGAGGTGTCAGATTAGCCTGTGTAAATTCTATTTGATGACACAACTACACTCCGTTCGTGCAGGCCTGACTCTCGTTGTTCATGGCCCGGAAGCCTAGCTAACCCTGGAGGCCACACGTAAGGACAGCAATGACAGAGGTCCTGGGCTGCTCTGGGGCCTCAACTGTATAACCTGGGGCACAAAGATGAGAAATAATCTCCTCCCAAACCTTACAGGAATAAAAAGAACCATGGTGTTACAAGATTGTAAGGCTCGCTGGTTTGCAAAATTCTTTCCACAGTCTCTTTCTTCTTTAATCCACAGGACAAGCTCTAGTACAGTTGAAGAAGCTGAGCCCAAGAAAGGGGAAGTACCTAGCTCAAGGTCACACAGCTGTTAGGAGGCAAAGCCAGGGACAGCCAGGTCTCTGACTCCACTGGCTTTTCTTGTAGAGCTTTACTGTCTACATAGAGGAACAGAAAGAGGAAGCTTTCAGACTCTTCATCAAAAAGCGCAAAGAAATCTGAGATCTTGTTTTCATTTTAACATTTAGATGAATCTGGTCTTAGAACCAAAGAGGGCAGCCTTTATCAACTAAAGGTATTTGAATAATTTCGGAGGAAAAAGAGATACAGCACCAAGGCCCCCTTCCCACTAACACCGTCCCTCCCCTCCTCCTGCGGCTTCTTACCACCTGCACGGTGTGACTTCTAAATCAGCATCCAACGCCCAGCACTCTGGCATGTACAGCTGCCTCCCGTAATTCAGAGCACTTCAAACACACCCTGTCCTAGGCAAAGGGTAACCTCTCCCCTGTGCCCACCAGCTGCTTCTCCTCTGCCCTCCTTCTTAGTAGACAGCACCACACCCCACTCATCACCCAAGCCAAAAAGTTGAGAGTCGCCCCAGATGGTGCCCTCCCCACACCCCGGTCTGGTCAGCCACCCCATCTGGACAGCTCTGTCTCCTAAACCCCATGACTGTCTCTGCATCCCCATGGACTGCCACCCACCCCACCCCCATCCAGATGTCTGTCAGCAATGACCTGGACCCTGGCCGGAGCAGCCTTCCTGGCCTCCCTCCCTTGGATCTTTCCCTCCCAGGGTGGTTCTCCATTCAGCTATGTGGCGGGGATTCTTACTAAAATGCAAACATGAAAAAATAAAATAAAAAAATAAAAAAATAAAATGCAAACATGATAATGATAATGAGACACCCAGGCCCAGTCTCCCCTTGCTCTCTCCTGCCTCCGGGATCAAGGGCAAACTCCTCAGTCCCACAGGCCAACCCTTCATGACCTGGCTCCTGTTCATCTGTCTGTACCACCCAGCCCACTGCACTGGACGCCCCAGCGGAGCTTGAGCCCCGACTTCCCCAATATGCCAGCTCTGTGTGAGCTGCCACGTGGGATGTGGTCTCAACCCCTGATGGCCTGGAAACAGTTTTCTGCAGGCTCGCTGCATTACCTCCCCTCTGAGGCTTTCTGTGATCTCTTCCCCATAGGCTGCGACCACACCTGGAACATTCTTCCTTAGGGCACACAGCCTGCTAAGAGGATGCTGTCTGCCCACAGAACCATCAGTGGTGATGGGAGGGACTATGACAAGCACCTAGAATGTTACTTGGCACGTAGTAGGTGCTCTGTTAATATTGGCCAAAATAAAATATTAACAGATGGCATCCAAAAGGCATTGGCTGGAGTGTCTGGCTGGCTCAGTCAGTGGAGCATGCGACTTTTGGTCTTGGGGTCATGGTTCAAGTCCTATGTTGGGGGTAGTTTACTTAAAAAAAAATAAAGGGGCCATTTAAAAAAAAAAAGATGTTTGCTCAGTTTACCCCAATATGAAATGAATTGCCAGTTGACTTGTACATTTCGTATATTTGCTGTGGTTCAAACAATCTAAGGTGACATCGTGGTGTGGATCTGGGCAAAGAGGAATCACAGCACGGGGAGGGAAGCAAGCATGTGCTGTTCTTTTCTGGCAGAAGTTAAGTTCAAAGCAAGCATCTAAGCATGGCTTTGGCTCCCTGGGGGTCTCTGTCCCCACCTAACCAGAGCTGGGCCTCACTCCTGGACTTTTGGGAACTTGGAAGGCAGAGAGTCGCCACGCAGCCCTTTCCCGTGTCACTGAAGACACTGCTCTGGACGACGTGGGGTAGCTCTCCTAATCGGGCCACACCAGGACAGAAGCCAAGCGGGAGGTGGCTCCGGACCTTACTGAGGGAACACTCTTGAGCGCCTTACTCCCTTCACGGCCCACCTCCTCATTAGTA